GTGTTTGCATAGGTAGTGGTCGTGGGCTTTGGTCATAGAGTTCACCACTTGCTGCCTCTCATGTTTGTATAAGTACTGGAACGACGGTGTTGCATCACATCGTCCAGAAGTGGTGCAGAGAGAGAGAGAGAGAGAGAGAGAGAGAGAGAGAGAGAGAGAGAGAGAGAGAGAGAGATGCCGGAAAATGGCGAGTTTGGAGGAAGACATGGCGATGGGGCTTATTCGCCGCCACATGATGTCCAGACCATGCGTGCAATGGCAATGCGTGCTGTTAATTGTTTGGACAGGGCATCTCAAGAATTCACAGTAGTCGTGACTGCCATCATAGCGAGGTACGATCAGATGGAAACGCAATACACGTTTGCATGCATGGAAATTGCACGGCTGTCTGATGAGAATGCGAAGCTCACAGTTGACAAGCAGCGCCTTGTGCGTGGGGTGCACTGCTTGGCACGACAGCGAGATCAAGCACGTGCAGAGGCAAAGAGGTTTAGACAAGCAGCGGGCATGGAGGCAGACTTATCGGCAGAACTGGAGGGAATGCAGATTCGGCACGAAGAGATGCTGTCTTCGTCACTTATTCACGCTTCGCCCGTAGGGGACACCGCCGGTTGTAGCATGCAACGCCGGTGCCGATCGAGGGATCGGGGGGTCGATTCAGGGGATTCGGACGTGTCATCTGGGTATCTCGATGTTGGGGAAGACGTCTAACACGGAGATGAGCGGTGTGAGCACATGTCCGACAACGCGCTGTGTTGATCACGTATGATGGGGCTTATTGATGTGTCAAGTGTCCTCGTGATGTTGTGTTGTGTTTCTTGGTCCGTGGTCGTCGACGAGTAAAACGACGAATTGTTAGCTCATAGCTTCACAGGCGACTATGAAAGTTGAATCTTTAGTGATGACGTAAAAGTAGACGATTTGTTAATCATGTCCTCATACTCTACGTTCTGTAGTGACTCTTGCTCCGTGGTCGTCGAGCACTGGGCCAATTTCTTTGCTTATTGGTGACCGTCACAGCCGTGAATACTGATGTAATCCGGCCGGCAGGGCCTTCTCATGGAATGTTGAATCTGCAGTCATGAACTTATTGTAGACAATTGGTTAATCGAGAGAGTGATGTTGTAGGACGCAATGTACGTTGTCTAGCGAGTCTTGCTCCGTGGTCGTCGAGTGCTGGGCCAATTAATTTGCTCATAGGTGACCGTCAAAGTGGTGATTATTGATGTAATCCGGCCGGCAGGGCCTTCTGATGGAATGTGAATCGTTGGTGATGAGTTTTGTTGCGTATTTTCAATGCAATGCTTTCGTACGCAGAGGCAAAGCTGGTTTGTTGTCCCTTCAAACAATGCTTGTGTGAGTACGGATAGTCACTATTTCACGTGGTTGTATTGTACGTCATTTCTGCTCTTGTCATGTTAATTGCATGGTCAATGTGACACATCGTAACACACACCGTCTGTACGGATGGATGACAGTTTGTTCGTTTATCGGTCGGGCTTTTTTTTTTCTTTTTTTTTTCCTCGTCCTTTTCCGTTGTGGCCACATCGTCTGATTGTCAACTGTTAGTCCATGATTGATGGCACAACTGTGATTTCATATGTAAACCTTGGTCACCTAGTGGCGAAACCTCGAAGGTTGTCCTTTTTCAACAAAATCAGTCGTTATTTCACATGTCGCACGAGTTTTCTGGCCTTTCACCGACCATAAACAGCATGGCGGCATGTTAAATATGCTTTGTTGTCATCATTCTTGCACGTGTATGCTTCCATTTTCAAGACTTCTGTTCGTTATCCTTTTCGATTGTAACATGTTTTTTTTATCACACCAACCTCCGTCGCTTTCTTCATCATTTCCTCCTCCTTGTACTTCATAGCCCACCGCCCAAGCTGCACCACGCGGTCTCTCTCTCTCTCTCTCTCTCTCTCTCTCTCTCTCTCTCTCTCTCTCTCTCTCTCTCTCTCTTTCATGGTTTGCGATCTGCTCACCTTTGTCTGCACCATCCAGCGACACACGTGTGACGTGGCAGCAGTAAAGCCTTCCTCCGCGGAACCTCCTTCCTTCCTCCCTCACTCCCTCCCTCCCTCCCTCCCTCCCTCCCTCCCTCCCCTCCTCCCTTCCTCCTCTCGTCGTTCAATCTTTCTTCTCCCCCTACTTTTCCCCTTGCGATCTTCTTTTTCCCTCATTCCTTTTCGTCCTCGTTTCACAACCACATACCACTACGGCCGAGCTACTTAACTACTAGCGTCCCCTGTCAAGGAGTGAAGGAGTACTCCTCCCTTCTGGGTGTTCTATCCCTGATTGAGTAATTGTTTCGCCCATTCTTCTCTACTCTCGTGGGTGGCATTTTGCGCTTTCTTCATTGTTGTACTACGCCTTTTCTTTGATCCTTTATCATTATTTTTGAGCCCACGGTGAACTACTCGCAAGCACACCAGCGGACCAACGCAGCACATCCGAGGCTTTTCTTGGTTAGCCAGTGTGCAACACACGTCAGTACGCGTACATCTGAGCACTTAGCGTCGCCGACGCATTTCTTGCTTCATTGGCCAACGTACTACGCCATTCCATCGACATGGCCTCAACCGGCGCTTGCTCGATCATTCAATTGTGTGACAGCTGGCATCTTAGCCGGTAACCTCAGACCAAATCACATCTCTGGCGTTATTCCACGTGTCACACACTCCTGATACGCAATCGAATGCGACTTTCTTGTCTCCTCTCCATCGACTACTTTACCACTCTGTACGACCGGAGGGAGAAAGAGGGCGAGAGCAGCGGAAGACATGTGCGAATACACGTGTGTAGAGAGACAAACGGAGTCATTGGGAAAGAGCGTATCAACGAACACACGTGTGTAGAGACAAACGGAGCGCCATGTCACTCGCATGCTACTCTAGTTGCGGACAAAGTAGGAGCAACTTCGATCAAGACTAGAAAATTTTCCAATCTTTCAACCGATTCATCAAAGGGCAGATGAATCCGTATTCCAAATAAAGATCCGTCACGGAGATAGCACCAACAAGCTTTAAAATTAAAAAATGTCGGTTTCAT